AAGCGTGAACATATCTCTTCTACTACGTGAGCCTTCAGTTCCATAACTTCTCAATGGAATCTCCATCACCCGCATAATCGTGATCCTCGAACGTTCCACGGTCTTCTACTGTGTTATCCAAATAATACCCGAAAATAGCAATTTCGTGTGGGCGAAATTTCTAGGAAAACTTGGCTGAAAATTTCAACCACCATGTACTCATCCCTCTAGGTGAAAAACCTTATGTATTTATAGCACAAGTTTTAAGGGTTAAGACCCTTTTTCCAAAACCTATTAGGTTTTCTTTTCCACAAGAAAAAGGATTCTTTTATTTCCTATTATTTAGGCACAGTAGGGACCACAGAATTTAATTAACAAGGCTTCCAATTATGGAATTAATTTGTAATTTTCGAAATTAATATCCACCATAATTAATTACGAATTATTCCACTAAAAATTCGTAATTACACTCCTTATTCAATTTCGAAATTCATCCATTAAATCTTATTTAACTCCCCATGTTAAGATTCAGATACGAATCAATTAAATTAAATTACTGACGATTTAATTTATTGATTATTTCCTTTAGACTTTCGCTTAACTTATTTCATGTGTCGGATACAAAATCCACCGGCCGGGTTTACACATGAAAACTTATAAGCTTTCATAAAGGTATATCATCAATCTCTAAACCGAGACATGGATTCCATCAAGTAACTATTACTTCGTCAATGTATATTATTATCCAATTTACCAGGCATATTGACCCACGAAAGAATCTCGCCTTTTAATAAATCAAAACAATAATAATATACACAGCTAATAATAATTATATCAAGATTAAGAGTATAAGTACATTTAATGGCTAGAGAGTTTATTTTATTAAGTCAGTATAAAATACTTATCTCTACCTGGTCCGTTCAATACATACAAAATGTACTAGCACAAGAAGTTGGAATTAAACCATTCCCATAATCAAGATTAATTATATTTAATCTTGTGCTACAATCATTCCTGATGGTTTGTCCAATTCCATCATTAGATTGTGAACTCAAACTTTATACTTATAAGAACCGATGATTTAATCTTCCGTGTATAAGCTAAACTCTATACACTAAATCATCTACTATATAAGCAAAGGACACAGACTATTATATGATCTATTTAAAACTTTATTAAAACTGAATAAACAATTATTTCATAATAAATACTATATCTAAACCAAACTCATGGTTAATAGTATATATCCCAACAATCTCCCACATAGACTTTTAACCATGATAATTATTAGAATATACTATATCCAAATGCATGGTTAATAGTACATGCCCCAACAACGGGACTTATTGGTATATTTGGAAAAGATCCCTGAGTGTCTCGGGTGAGTTTCGGAAGGGGTTCAGATCGTTTGGAGCCTTGTTGAAGCTGCTGGAATTTCTGTTGGCAGAAGCTGTTTCTGGGCAGCAATTGGTGCAATCGCACCTGCAAAATTTTGGGCGCAGGTGCAGCTTTGCTGAAGCGATACCTTGCATCTCAGAAGCGAGGATGGCTGGACTGGAGGGGGGCTTCGCAGAAGCGAAACATGGCACGCTTCAGCGACTTGCCATTGCGAAGAAGCGGGCATTCTACCGCAGATGCGATGAATCAGCTGTGCAGTGCACTTCGCAGATACAAGTTTTGGCTCGCAGGCGCAAAATTTTGTTCCGAAGAAGCGAAACTGGGCAGAAACTTAAAGACCAAAAATGGTCATTTTCTTCATTTTGTTTTGGAGTTTGAAGCTCGATTTTTGGGCGATTTTGGAGGAGTTCTTCACGACTTTGACTTGGGTAGGTGTTCTATATCCGAGAGGATTACATTTCATAAATTCATGGTTATATTCATCATTTATTTCGGATTTAATTGAAGAAACTAAGAAAAATTGTGAAATCTTCCAAAAATGTAAAATAAAGATTTGGAGGTCGATTTATTATTAGAATTTGATAAAATTGGTATGGTTGAACTCGTATCGAAATGAGTGTTCGGATTTTGTAAAAATTCTACAGGGTTTCGTGATCCGGGCCCCACGTTGACTTTTTAAAGTGAAATTTTAAGTCGACGTTTTGTAATCCGGAATTGTTTTCGATGAATTTTAATGAAGTTATATAATTTATTTGGCTAGATCCGAGCCGTTCAGAGGTCATTTTACGCAAGAAGGCTATTTTGGAATATCGACCTAAATTCAAAAAAGGTAAGTATCTTATCTAACCTTGACTGATGGAATTACCCATTAGGTATTGAGTCTTATGTGAAAATTGTGTGATTGAAAGCTGTATACGCGAGGTGATGAGTACGTACTTGACTTATACGTGCAAATTATATCGATTAAAATTCTTAGACACCCTTATGTATTAAATTGGAAATTGTTGGCACTTGTTAAATCTTTTATTTCCCATGTCGCATTCTTTACTTGCCGAGTTGCTCCTAAATGCTTATTTGGAATTATTACTATATTGTCCATTCGTGAGCACTTTTATTGTTAAGCTGCCGTGTTCATGAAATTAATTTCATTATTAATTTTTATCTGCAAATAATTAAAGGAAAATTAAGTTAATAAGAAGCATAAATTATTTACTTGAAGTTGTGATTAAAGGATGCTGTTTTCCATGCTGAATTACTTTTCAATTATATTGTTATTATTATGAATTTCATAAATATTGTGTGTGGCCTTGAATTTTTTGTTGTGAAATTAATTGATTTTGTTGCACCTTTGGAAATGGTTGTGGTCTATGGGCAATTTGTGATATGAATTGTTTGTGTTGTGTTGTTGTGATAATATTCCGTGTAAATTGTTGAGTGATTTGAGTTATTATTATGCGGACATATGGGTGGCATCCACTGTTGATAACATGCAAACATAATGGTGATATTTCACTATC